ATCCAATCACTTTTTTACATATTTTCCTTTAGCAATACCCTCTTTTTTGGGGGGGGGGAGGTGTCAGATATAAAAGAGATGGCCCTGAAGAATCCAGGGGTTTTTTAAAAGGGATCACAATGTTGGTGGGTGAAGTCCTGAAATAGTCTTCAGCATGTTTCTTCTTCTTACTTATTTTCCCATTTGACTACCTTTTCTGGAGTGTTTGTCTGGAGATGTGCTTCGTATAAATCAACCTATTCCAATTTGGCACCACCAAGATGTGTTGGGACTACTATAGTCTCAGAAGTTTCAGCTATTTTCATCCATTCTGGCTATAACTGCAGTACATTTGAAGAGTGCAAAGTTGGGAAAGACTGCTGTAAGCCAATACATTTATAGTCCTAATTTTATTCAGCATTGGTGCCCCCTGCCAGCTATTTCAGAGCTAGATGACAAATACTGTTTTTATTGCATATACTTTTCACATTGCTCATTTAATTTTCCTCTTGCTCCACACACAGAGCTGGAAACCTTAAGTGACAAATCACTATTATTAATTGGTTAATTTATTAACTGTAAATTGAAAATGTGCCATTGCACTGGGTTTTAATGAATGTTGTCTTTTTGAAGACAGAAGAGGTTTTTAGTAATCGTTATGACATTGCATAATTTATATTTGTTGTAAACTGTAATTTAGATGTATCATTCAGAATGACTTTCTGATCATAAATTATGTGCCTTCGTTGTTTAGTCAAAACAAATCCAGATTTTAAAATGAAAGGTTATCTATTTGAGTTATAGTAATATATACATTTCCTTTAAGCAAGGATAATTAATAGAGCTATTTACCAACATTGTAGCAGTTTGGTGCATAGTTATTTTCTGGGGGAAAATAATACCTAAAAAATTCTTCTTACAAACTAGAGCTATCAAACATTAGTTGCAAAATCTAGATGTGGACTAGAGGGCAGCAAAGAGTTATCTTCTGTATCTCTTTGCTTCCATCTGGTGGCCATTTAAATTCCTGTAGCCCTATTTAAATTCACTGGGTGGTTTTAAGAAGCCTGTTATCTTTTGGCTTTCACCCTCAATCTCACTTACAGGGCTGTTTCAGATATACAGATTACATGTAGAACACACTGTGTACATTTGGGGGATTTGTTTCATAGGTGTTAGTATATTATCTATATATATTATCTTTACTGAGACACACAGATACTTTCTATGAGACTTTGCTTCCATCCTACTTGCTTTTAAGCCATTGAGGACCTTCTTTTGAACTCAGCTAGGAAATCTCAGTTTTAGATAGTCCCCTGCTAAATGAATCTTAAAACAATCTGACAGTGGCAACACAGATAATCCTGCAAGTTTTTAAATCTGGTTCAGACTCAGTTGTCTAAAGCCTGGTGGCCATAGCTATCTAGCTGTCATGGAATGGATCTATCTCTGCAGCTGCCTGGAAGGGAAATAATACTTCTATTCAGCATAAGCTGGGCTAGAGAGGGGAAACACATGTCCTTTTACCTTCTGCCGGTAAAAGAAGTGAGCTGTTGTTGCAGTTCAGCAACATCTAAAGGATCACAAATTCTACATCTATACTAGACCATAGTTCACTGGAAAGAATAATGATAGCTACCTAAAACAGGACAAATATTTGGCAGTGTTGTTGTTGCCCCTCTTCTTTCATGGCACTTTTGTAACAGAGACTATAATATCCCTTTTCAGTTATATTAGTATTTCCAGATTACAACGTAATTTTCACCATCTCACATACACTATCAGAAATGTTACAAGAGACCACAAGTCTTCATTTCTGCTATCTTTCATTCAGAACAATTGAATAATACTAAAAGGGCTAATGTTTCTGAAAAACATTAAAGAAGCTATTAAGATTGACAAATACCAGTATTAAATGATATTGGATATATCCATAAAGGGGCTTTTTTTAAAAAAAAAATCAGAATTCATTTTTTCCCAATGTAACGGGTTGAGTTGAGAGATAGTGACTAGGCAAGTCACCCAGTGAGCTTCTTTGGCTGAGCTGGATTTGAGCCCAGACTCCCCAGTCCTGGTCTAACATCCTAGCACTACATGTCTGCAAGTGAAACTCAATCAGCAATACAAAATTCAGCACAGTGATAAAGGTTGTCCATTGCTCAGAGTGCTCCAACAACAGAGCACTGCAACATTTCTAAAGGCCTTACTGACAATAGGGATATAGTGAATAGTTGGTTCCTTCCATGATCCCATTGCCAAGCTTCCCCTTCAAAGAGTTCCCAGTGTCAAGAATTTTCAACAATAGAAAAGTGGGCTTTAGAGACCAAGTAATAGGGATTAGGAACTGATATGAGTTTCTTTCTTCAAAAACAGACTTTACGTCATGAAACCAAAGGATCCTGTGATTCCTGGGAAGCAGTTCCTGAAGCTATAGACATACTCTGTTAAGGAAATTAATTAACTGATTAATCCAGAAGTTGCTTATAATTGATATTGTCAGAGTTTCAACTCTAGAGAAATTGAGAAGTAATTTTGATGACAGCTTGTGAAAAGGAAACAAGCAAGCCTTTGTAAATTCAGTGCATTCTTTTTCCTTCTGTTTCTGGCATTATTAAGCAACCATTGCTGCACAGTTCTAGCAGTATTAAAGGTGATAAATGGGAAGACCAATTATCTATCATCAATAAATCTCCTGTTTGTGTGGGAGGAAGAGGAAGGAAGATAACAACATTGGGATAGTAGAAATTACAATTTCGCTGAGTTTTGTTTATTTCTGGGGGCAAAAAGAGACATGTTTAACCAGAATTTTAGTATTGGCTTGGAACTTTAATGGGATTTTGCATAATATCCATAGACATATTATCATCTTCATCTAGCTTCAGATAGGACAGATTGAAAAAGTGATAGGTTAATTCTTGACTTTTTATACTCATATGTTTGAGCAGATATGAGCAATGTGGTAAAGTCTGGCATAGTGAGCAACCTATGTTCCATTAAATATCTGTCTAGTAAATACTCCAAATGAAGTTGGCTGCTGACCAGAGTGAGGAAAGCTTGGTCATATAACTGCATAGTTCTAGAAAAGGAAAAACATAGAAACGTAGGTTCCTATTTCAGCTTGGAAAAACAGAATTTTTTAAAACTTGAAATCCATGCTTATTCTCTAAATGTGCCTGTAAAGTTGAGTTTATAACTGATTTACAGAAGATTGCTAGACTTGCTAAGTGAGCACACTAGTTGCTAGGATGGACATACTGCCTGTTTGTACTGGCATAACTGGATCCAGCTGGCAGTCAGTGCCTCTTTGACTGAAAGAGAGGTTCCAGCAGCTTTAAAAGAGCTTCTGGTCCACCTGTTCCACAGGATGCCAGCCTTCAATGTTCATGAATGAGTTTCGCCCTATTTCCAACCTCCCCTTCTTGGGGAAGACTGTTGAGAAATTGGTGAGGCTACAATTATGAAAGCTCTGAGAAATTCAAATTATCCAGACCCATGACATTCAGGGATTCAGGCATGGGCAAGGGATGGAAGCAGCATTGTTCACTCTCATTAATGGCTTATGGGGTGTGGATGGTGGAACTATGAACATCCTTGTCCTGTTGCAAGTCTAGATGCCATCGAACCCAGTATCCTTCTGAATTGCCTGCAAGGGTTAGGAATTGGACATATCAAATTATGGTGATTCTGCTGCATTCTGTGTGGATGGAACCAGTTTGTGGCTGAAGTGGAGAAATTAGGCCTACAGTCACTCCATTATTGGATGCCCCATGGCTGAGCTCTTTCTGTAATCTTGCTTAATATCTGCATGAATTAAATAGGTAGTCATATGTAAATTTAAAGTCATGTATTGTCAATATGCAGATGATATCAGCTACATATTTCTATCCCAGACTGAATGGGAAATGGTGGAAATTGAGTGGGATTTGTATTGCCTATTGAAACTTATGTTCCAGCTTAAAAACAGTTGTTGGTAATACAACAAGATTGTCGATAAGGATATATATACATATACACACATACATGCACATACTCCATGCAGAGTTCTAAACTCAAGCCCAAAGCAAGGAGTCTCCTAGTCCAAGGGAAGAGGCAGAAAAGGTTTGAGGGTTTGAGATGAAGCTTGCTTATGGAGACAATTCATAATTAACTTAATGTGCCTGAATACAGAGTTGTACTTAATATATATAACATGTTAGTGGATTCTCTATCAAAAGGATATCTCAGTAGGAAAATAGTGTTACAAAAGGAAGAAAGGGGAAAGCAAGTTTAAAGAACATTGTTTACATAACCACAACTCCATCAAAAGAAGAGGGTGGAATGTGGAGTTTCATATATAACTCATGTTTTAAATTATGTGCCATCAAGTCAATTAATCCAATCAAATCTTTATTAAGGTCAAAAATCAGCATAAGGAGGGTGGGGTACAGTCAGTATAAAAAGTATAGAAAATACTTCAGAAAAATAATAATAAAAAGCTAAAAGATATAAAACAGAAAATATGTATCTAAAAGAA